TTTCTTGCCAGTTCTTCCTCAGTAATCAGCAGTAAAGTTATCTCTGAGTTCTCAAATCACCCCAGACAGATATAAAAGCAAAAGAAAAATCTACTAATAAAGAACCACAAGCATTCATTTGTTTTGCAGGTCTTACATGTGGTAAGCAGCTTATGCCAACAGGAAACAGACTGAGCTCTCGTATCAGAATAACAAGAAGAAATTCAGCCGTTGTTTCCCTCCCAAAGATGTCTTGACATCAACAGCTTTTCTTTAGCTTGAGAAAATGATATGTCTGTGAAAACAACTTCAGTTCTTGGTCAAAACCACGTGCCACTCTCAGGAACCTCCTCCCTTTCTGTATCCTGCCGTCCATCCGTAGGGAATCAGTTATCCCAAAGCAGATTCTGTGTGAACACTGCAAAACTTCCTATCATTTATCAGTCACACAATACAACTCCTAATTATAGAGCTCAAGTTACAGCGATGGCTTCAACTCTTACACACCACAACATTCACAGGACATTCAAAGTCTTCATCTTGGGTATATATAGGACTGTATAGTACATGAGACACAATGACTTCTTTAATACTCTATAAATCTGAAAAATATGCTAATTGCACTGGATGCTTTATCGGACATGTAGTAGCCAAATGGATAAATATGTGCACTTTATTAGTTAGACCAGTTAAAGAATTAGTTCACTTCCAAAATAAAAATGTCCTGATAATTTACTCACCCCCATGTCATCCAAGATGAATGTCTTTCTTTCTTCAGTCGCATAGAAATTAAGGTTTTTGAGGAAAACATTCCAGGATTTTTCTCATGGACTTCAATGGTGGCCAACAGGCTGAAGGTCCAAATTGCAGTTTGAATGCATCTTCAAAGGGCTCTACACACGATCCCAGCCGAGGAACAGGGGTCTTAGCAAAGGATTTATGACTGAAGACAGAAAGACATGAACATCTTGGATGACATGGGGGTGAGTAAATTACCAGGACATTTTTATTCTGGAAGTGAACTAATCCTTTAAAATCTTTATGCCAGTTCTTTTGGTCTCAATTTCAAATCCCTAAAATGTGCTCACACTGCTTTAAAAAGATAGTTCACCCAAAATCATTTACTCACCATATGTTGCTCCAAAACTATATGACTTTCTTTCTCCTTTGAATACAAAATAAGATATTTACAGAAATATTCTTGGGAGTTTTCTTGTTCATACAATGAAAGTCAAGGGTCACCAGTTTGGTTTCCAACATTCATCAAAATATCTCCATTTATGTTCCACAGAAGAATAGCTACAGATTTGAAACGATATGAGGGTGAGTAAATGATGCCAAAACTCTTATTATTGTGTGAATTATCCCTTTAAAAAGGATTGCGCCATAGAGTAATTTACATGCATATTTACATTTACATTTACATTTAGACATTTAGCAGACACTATTATCCAAAGCGACTTACAAATGAGGACAATGGAAGCAATCAAAATCAACAAGAGAGCAATGATATACAAGTGCTATAACAAGTCTCAGTTAGATTAATGCAGTACACGTAGCAAGGTTTTTTTTTTAAATCATAATAAATAAAAAGAAAATGGATAGAAAAAGAATAGAGCAAGCTAGTGTTAGAGGCCTTTTTTGCTTTTGTTCATCAGAAGTCAGAAAGTCAGAATTATAATTGTATAATAAATAAAAAGAAAACAAATAGATAGAATGCAAAAAGATTAGAGAAGCAAGTGTTAGTTTTTTGTTTTTTAAAGAAAACAAGCGGTTAGTAAATAAATAGAGTGCAAGTCTAAAAGAGGCAAGTTTTATATCTGTCTGGTCAATGGTACCAGTGGCTGATTTTTAGGATAACCAAAGCTGTACAAGATTCAATCAGAGTTGCACAGAAAACATAATTTAGTTGCAATGTTATTATATTCTCATTCTGAATCAAAAAGGTTTGCGAACGGAATTAGAAATCTGGGATAACAAAATTAGCATCTAAAATAGTTATTTTTAGAGAGCTAGAGTGTACTGGTAAAGTGCTGGTAATGTGACACATTGTCCAAGGTTGCCAAGAAAGGAAAAAGAAAAAAAAGCATGGCACAGCAGCATGGTGAACTTCAGAGTGCAGCTCCATCCTTTGTTTTGGTTAGACGCAGACATTTGGTGGTCTCAGTGAAAGCTGAGCGTGTCAACCGGTCCAGATGGAGGCCAAACACGGATAGACATCAGACTGCAGCCACATGCAGCCGTCTGTCAGAGCTGTCAACATGAGGAAACAAACAAGGAAAGACCCACTGGCCCCGATCCAAGTACCATGCTCTGGGGCAAAACCAGTCAACCCCGGGACACTTGCTGACACGCTGTACATGGAAACGGGAACACTAACACGCAGGAGACTCTATTCTTGCTGACCAGCTGTGAATCACCCTCATACCTAAACAAGAAGCTGCCACCCAGTCAGATGAGGAGCTGTTCAGAAAAGGATTTTATATCCTTTATACTATACAATCATTAATGTGAAATCCTACTGATTGAACTTGTTGAATGTAGAGTTTCAAATAATTTTTACTCATTTCACTCACTGTGACGTTTCTTGGCTGCTTTATTTTCTATACTTCCTAGTCTGACTGCCTTTTCCTCCTCGGTTTACAGACCAGTGACATCATTGCCAAGTGTGCCTAATCATCTGGAAAATGTTGAACTTTTTGTCAGCTGAACCCACTTGACCTAAAATATTTTCTTGAAATACCACCTAAGATTTTAAGTTAATATGTCAATAATTTAACAACACATTCACATGTTCACAGTTCTCTGATGTCATGCACGAAAAAAATACATTTATATATATATATTTTATTTATTTATTCATTTTTTGTTATTTCATTTTCCTCTGGTTTCACAGACAAGGCTTAAAGGGGTCATGATGTTGCTAAAAAGAACATTATTTTGTGTATTTGGTGTAATGAAATGTGTTTATGCGGTT